AAATCAATTAAAGTTTGATGGACTAAATAATTGATAAGACTATATTAATATTATGTGAATGAAAAATTGACCAATGTAAAATTACTAGGGTCTAAGAAGAAACTAAATTAAAAACGCTATTAAGGTAATAATATTGTCCAACGTTGCTTAAATGAATTAAAATCATGTAATAAATAAGAAAGTGAACACACTTCTAAATTCAAAAATGTGCACCTACAAAGAGAGTTGGTTTGGCCGTCAGACTCGAGGGCTCACAAGACCCTCACTCATTCTTACTGTAACGCCCGTGAACCAAAAAGTGGGTTTTTTGGTGTTGCGTCGATCGACGCAGGTGCTTTGCGTCGATCGACACAGTGTTGGCAGGTACCTCTCCTTTCAGTCGAGTTGCTAAAGCACCTCTCGGAAGCGAGAAAGCGAGCAGCAATCTGAAAAAAGGGGAAAATGGTTTTATAAAGCAAAATAAGCTAAGGGGGATGGCTAGGAATCGCAAGAATTGAGAAGGGTGAGAAAGACAGTTTATTTCCTGTCAAGTATGCTCCTCAGACATAGACTACGTACAGGTAGTACTCTTGGAAAGAAAGATATAATGCGTGAACATAACATTAAGTTACGAATGTAACTCCCGACAAAATGTAATATGCCTTCGTCCAATGATACGAGTTTACCTCATCGATTTTGGTTACTTTGGAGCATGTGGAAAGCCTGTAACGACATGATTTTCAATGGTCGACGATGGAGCTCCTTTGTTATAATTTGTAGAGCTCAACATGAGGCCAACGAATGGACTAGCATTTCCAATACAACAATTTCGAATCCCAGTTCTAAAGAAGATGCCCCAACAACATCATTTTGGTCGCCTCCACCATCAGTTTGGTTAAAATGCAACCATAACACAAGCTTTCACCGAGGCAGATCTCACATAGGCTATGGTTGGATCATCACGAACTCTAATGGTGCATTTTTCAAGGTGGAGGATCTTTCTTTCTTCCTCAAACAAGTAATGCTCTAGAAGGTGAAGATTATAGTCTCCTCCATGCTATGCAAATCTCGTGATGCCGTGGATATCGTTGGCTAATATTTGAAGGTGACTCGAAGCAACTCGTCGATTTGATTTATTATCGCACTAAAGACGTAACAATAGATAACTTAATCCATAATATACATCATTGGATGAATCGATTTGCAGGCGTCTATGTTGTTTACAGAAGACGAGAAAACAATGCCATCGCTGATAAACTAGCTCACATTGGCATGTCTCAATATCATTCCTATTGTATTTACAATGTTTTCCCACTTGTATTCATCATTTGATCGTATGAGACATTTGTAAATATTCTCAATTGATAAACAAGACGTTCAAAAAAAAAAAAATTAACAGTCTCTTTTTACTTTCATCCAACGGTTCAGAAGCCTCCATTTGTATTACACAGATTTAATTTTAAAAAGGTAAATAAATACTGAGAAAAACGAACAGTCACCGTTTTTTCAATCTCTCTCTCTCACTAAATGAAGAACAGAGTCTCTCCGGCGAGATTACCGGCGATATTCCGATAACTTCGCCTGAGAGCTGTCGTCTCTGTCAAATGGGTCTTCCTTTATTGTCTTGTAGTTCAAATAGAGTCGCTTTCTCTTCTTCTTGGAGTAGTCGTAATTGTAGTTCTAGGCTTTTCGAATCTCCGGCGAAACGTAACCGGAAGATTATTCCGCCGGACAAACCAGTATCAGCGTTGTGATCGACGACGGAGATGCATCGGGGAGAGGTTTATATGTGCCTTCTGTAGATGTAACTCTGGTGGTCGGAGCTTTCAGTAGAGGCGAATTCGTCGGTGGTAACGGAGGTTCAGCTGGACCTTCCGGTGGGAGCGGTGGAGATTTTAGTGGTTGGGATAAGATCGGTGCTATTGTTAGGTTGAGTTATGGAATCGGTGAGTGAATTTGAAGAATCAAAGATCAAAATTTTCTTGATTTCGAGATTATTGAGTTTTGTGTGTGATTGATTGAATCAGGAATATACTGTGGAATGGCAGTAGCAGGGAGATTTATATGTGAAGTAGCAGGAATTTATTACACAGGAGGTTTTAATGCTTCTTTAGATGCTATTATTTCTGGACTTCTCCTCCAATTATGGCTCTTCTCTTCATTCTTGATGTAAGTTTTAGTTTAGTAATTAGTAGAGAGATTCTCTCTGTAAAAGAAGCTATGGCGTTTACTATGGAATTATTTTGGTTTTTCTTTTAGGATGAAGTTGTGAAATTGTCGCTCGTGCGATTAGAGATGTCGAAGATGAAGAGCTTTATTGTTGGTTTGATATTTTTTGTATAGGGTGCACTAGCTGATATATTCCTAAGAGGCACATCTCAGATTCACGGGGAATTGTCGCTTTGGTATTATATGAATTCTGTTCTTACTCATCTCCTTCGTAGTTCATCTTATTGACTTCGAATTGTTTGAACTTTTCAGACTGGACTCTTGCCTCCGTTTGTACCGTTTTCTCAAGTATTTGCAGCCACTATTACCTCCGCTCTCACTGGTTCTCTCTATTACATTGCTGTTTCCCCTGAAGGTTTCCCTCTACTCTTCGAATTGTAATATATGTTTCAAAGCCTTTAAACCTTTTAACCAATCTTGTTTCCTTATTTCTCTTAGATCCGACTTATATAATGGCACCAGTCTTGAAAACTAGCTTTGCCTGAGACGAGCTGAAGAAGCTGTTTGCAGGTTCTTAAACCTCAGTAAAGCATAATTACGCTTGTCTCACAATCAAATAGTTAAAAAGGATTGTCCATGTTCCTTTTTGCAGCATGGTACGAGCGAAGACAAATGAAGAAAATCTACTCTCCTTTTCTCGAAGGGCTTCTTGAATGGATTCAGGTTTTTACTTCTTCTTCCACGTATTTCTTTTTTTGACTTCTCAAATTAGTAAAATCGTAGAAACTGAACTGAAATTTATTGCAGACAAACAATCTTCTTGCACCTATCATCACACATGGTATATACTTGTACTCGGGAACTGTGTCTGGAAATTACACCATCACCAGCAGAGACTCCGGTTACGTGTTCTGAAGCTTGAAACTGAAGGTG